AGTAACGTACGTACGACACTATAGTACTACACGACTACACTACTACTACTATATATATATATATATATATATATATATATATATATATGTATATATGTATATGTATATGTATAAGTACAAACTGTCAAAAGAAGTCTAGCACACACTTTTCACTAGTTTGGCATCAAGGGATTATGATTTGACTGATATTGTACTTATCATGTATCTTCTAATTTCGCCTGTTCGACCACGATTTCAGCAACAGACCTGAATTTTTGAACGGAGCTACAAGCCAAACATGCACTCCCGCTACGGTGCCCATCGCAGTATCGCGTTCATATACACAGTGCGTGAAACCTAACGACATTGATGTGAAACTGAATCAAACGTATAGACACGTGCTTACATCAAACATATATACACGTACTTGCATCAAACGTATTGCATCAAATGTATATTCACGTGCTTACATCAAACGTATTGCATCAAACGTATATATACGGTGTTTACATCAAACGTATATTCACGTGCTTACATCAAACGTATATACGCGTGCTTACATCAAACGTATTACATCAAACGTATATACATGTGCCTACATCAAACGTATTACATCAAACGTTTATACACGTGCTTACATCAACGTATTATATCAAACTATATACACGTGCTTATATCAAACGTATTACATCAAACGTATATACACGTGCTTACATCAAGCATATATACACTTACTTTCATCAAACGTATTACATCAAACGTATATACACGTACTTATTTCAAACGTATTATATCAAACGCATGTACACGTGCCTACCTGTAGGTTGAGGGCGTCAAACACCAGAATCTCACCACTCACATTGGATGCCACATAAGCCAGATAGTTGTTCTCATTGTTCGGTGACAGTGACACCAGGCCTTGGGGCGGTGTAGGCGCATATATACATATGTGGATGCAAATCAGTTAACTCGAGAAGACACGTGTATGTCGTATACCTATGCTGTGTAGTATAACTATATGGTACAGCCCTATAGACACACGTATACATATGATTCTTCCAGATCCGATTGGCGCTCCATGAATAGTGTGTGTGCACCGTACTATGTTGTGACTAATAACAACGCGAGAATAAACCTGGCTTCACTGTGGGCCAGCCCTATGTTAACACAAAGCCAATGTTAACGCAAAGATGGGAAGAGTGGCGTGGATGCGATGATCAGACCCAACCCCACAACCGAAACTCAGAGACTGCGACCGCCTTGATCCGCACAACTGCACGCAGGCGTATATACAATCAATACCCACTACATATGCCTGTATGGTAGTACAAACTCCGTAACCATGGAAACCGACAAAGGTGAGGCTATATGCATGGTGACATCTCACGTTGAAAGGAGGATATACACGTATACACGACATACTGGCGTTCCGTCTCCCAGCATGGCATACGCCAAATATCGCTGTACACGCATACACACAGATGACTCGTACAGTATGTACGTGATCATAGAACGTAAGAAACCCTATACTACACGTACTTAGCCATGCTTAACATGGACATAGATATGCCTACACAGCTCAGCGGTAGATGCACATGTTCTTCTGAGAAGGTTTATATACACCACCACGCACAGAAACCTAGCCCTAATTGCACTGAGAAAAAGGATTCGTTTTCGAACTCACAAAGCCAGGACAGATGGCAGATATCAAATCCAAAAAATTACTGCTGAAACATTTCGAGTAGCTTTATCGGATGCGTAGACGTGTGCCTCTCGTAATGGGCAAAACCATAACAAAGACACTGTATGGAATGCATATAGGCTAACAAACTAAATATGCGTACAACGGAAAGAACACACGAAGGTCATCTACCGATCTTAAAGGTCGCCATAAAATATAATATAAAACATATCATATATATACGTCCCCTCTCCTTTTAATTGGGTGGCGTGTCCAGAGAGTGTAGTAACTTCATAAGGGATATGTCGTATATGTGTATAGTAGATGTATATATGTGTATGGTAGATGTATGTATGTGTATAGTAGATGAATGTATGTGTATAGCAGATATATATATGTGTATGGAAGATGTATAATGTATGATAGATGTGTATATGTGTATGATATATGTATATATGTGTATGGTAGATGTATATATGTGCATGGTTGGTGTATATATGTGTATGATAGATATATATATGTGTATGGTAGATGTATAGTTTATAATAGATGTATATAAGTGTATGATAGATATATGTGTATGGTATATATGTATTGTAGATGTATATGTGTGCATGGTAGATGTATATAATGTAAAACGTATCACACACATGCGTCCGCTCACCTTTTTTATTGGGTGACGTGTCCAGAGAGTGTAGCAGCTTCATGATGGTGATGTCATATATGTGTATGGTAGGGTATATGTGTGTATGGTAGATGTATATAATATAAAACGTGTCTTACACATACGTCCGCTCACCTTTTTTATTGGGTGGCGTGTCTAGAGAGTGTAGTAGCTTCATGATGGTGATGTCATATATGTGTATGGATGTGTCAAGCACCACAACCAACCGTTTCCGATTCATTTTGACCGCTAGGATTGCCGTCTTGAAACTCAGCTCGCATACTTTGGTTTGCCTCTGCAGAGGTGGATAGGGGTACATCATACAAGGTGAATGTAAGTTATAAACTAGTTCATACAAGGTGAGTGTATGCTATAGTATACAAGGTGAGTAGATACGCATTACTCATTCAATATCTGACGCCAGGGCGTACCTCATATATATATATATATATATATATATATATATATATATATATATATATATATATATATATATATATATATATATATATATATATATATATATATATATATATATATAT